TTTTCTTGAATCTCATCGAAACTTCCTTCAAAGAGCGAGTGATTTTCCTTCTGACGTCAGGTACTCCTGATTACTCGGAATTTTCTGCAAGTTTCACTTTCCAATAGTAATGGTTAATTGGGGTGGGCATATTTTTTTAATGGGGGAGGGGGTGGGAAGGAGTTTTGTAGCAGCATCTAACAAGGACATAGGAGCAAACCATGATGTTTCATCATCATTACTGCTGGGGAGCTGCTTATAAGCAACCGAAGATCCTTTTGGTCACCCTCCTGAGTAGTCTGAGTAGGCGAAGCTGTTGTTACCAATATTTGATAACTTGAAGGAAAATTTAAAATGACAACTGTGATCAAAGATATTTAACAAAATCAGTGAAAACAGAAACTTTTAAACTCTCAGATAATATTCTCAGGAATTGGGGTTTTTTGTTCTAAAACGATCGGTGATGTACAGGTCGTTAACAGTGAGTGTAACAGAACTGCATGGAAACGATTTGAAAGTTAAATTTGTCTCTATCACTAAACGGAAGATTGTGCCGGGCGATATCCTTAGTTTACGCTTGACGCCATAAAATCCAAAACTATAAATATTACGGTACACAAATGTAATCACGGTTTACCCCGAAAGGAAAAAAACCTGCGAAAAATGAAACTTTTCGCCAGTCATCAACATGACCTCCAGTGCTATTCATAAATATTAAAATGGTTCGCTGAGGAAGATAACATGAATGTATAAAAATGTTGGTATCGAGTGATTGTTTGTCTCCTGAGTCATCTTGGCCAGAACACAACGGGTAACTTATAATTTTTATGGCGAAAGGAAAAAATATTTATTTACTTTACGTTTATCACATTTGTAGTCTATGAAAAGGAACAAAACTGGCCCTCACGAATTACACCCCATCAATTTTTTCCGAAATTTGGGCGATCATCTTTTCAGTGGAAAATAACTGACTCCAAAAGAAAGAATTTGCCAGATTGATATAAATTTTCTCGATGGTTCTTGGCTTTAAGCTGATTCTGTCCGTTTACTTTCAGTTTGATGGCGTGACAAAAGACAAAAAAGAAAAAGTTGACTTCCTTCGGAAGATCTTATACAAGTCCCTTTGCCATCATCAAAATGAATAACGAACGTTTCTAACTTCTAAGGGTAATTTGCATCAATGCTGACTGTTTTAGAAATCCAAACAACAGTAGTATAGTTATGAAAGCTTCCAAAAAAATTATCATAGGAATAACAACATTAACAGCCCACAGAGATCTCACTGCTTCCCTCCTCTTTGAAAAGAAGCTATGGCTTCTTCCATTGCGTGAGATATATAAAGGAAAAGAGATCATTGTTTATATTTCGATACCTTAGATCACTTTTCCAAAAACATCGACAAATAATGCATTTTTTTCAAGGATTTACACAATCAAAATGCAAGATCATAAAATAAAGTTGTGCGGACAATTATAACAACCACTCCATAGAATACAGGACTTCACACAAAGCTAGCTAATATGGAACATTCTCCAAACACATGCAAAACCTTTGAGTCAAAATGTATATTTAGGAAGCAGATCAAAGAAAACCTACTCTCTGATTTAATTTCTAGAAACGCGAGCTTGTTGCAAGGAAATGCGATTACTACTAAAGCTTATTAAGATATGGGCTGGGCAGTTTCGAATTAGCAGTAAGTTGTATGATGCAACACGAGTTCCCTTGAGAGCCCAGTAAATCGGTTTTGTCAATAGCATTGTTCCTTCTTACACAATTGAATTGAATTACTGTAGAGTAAATATGAATCAGCAGGTCAAATGAAACTTGTTGTGTTCTGTTAGCCAGTTAAATTTTCCAGTCGGTCTCTGATCTGCGTGATTCGCGTGACAGTGTAACGAACACCCCGCTTGGAGCATCGGTTTTTCAAAACTGCTTCAAACCTCGTCTTGTTATGAGTGATGTGATTAATGAATTGGCGGAAGAGAATTCTGATATGTGCGATTAAATTTGAAAGAAATTCATAAACGGAAAAGTCGGTTTAACGTTTTTAACCTCACCTAGACCTGCCAAACATTGACTAAATTCGACGAATTAATTGGTATTTTAACCGACACTGGACATGATGATTTGTTTCAAGCTACCTTCTCTGAAGATTAAATTCCAACATCCTCTGAGTTAGCCGAAGGGCCATCTACCAACGCACCAACCTCTAGCAGAGTTTCAACCGTTACGTGAAAAATTTGAATTCCGAATGTCCATTAGAAAAGTTCAAATGAAATTCATTTTGTTCCTTCCACTGAAGGAAAATTAGGAGAGATGGATATTTGTTATCCAACTTATGAAGCGCCATCTAATGTACGTAAATGTATTTTGGTTTTGTACGTCTAACTTTTTTTACCGATGACAGATGTGAGCATGCAAAAATGAAACAATTCACTTTGGTTACATGTAACATCCGGTCTCAGTATACATTGTTTGGCAAGAGTCGTTGGATTTTTAACCCAAAATTACAATCAAGACTTGTTACAGTGCTGAATTGGAGCTTCTGTCTTGAAACGGTAAGCTAATTGTGTTCGATGACTATCACATCATGAGCTGTTTTCCAGTGCGATTTGCGTCATCGAAGACAAAGTTGGTAAATAAGAGGAGTTGATCAGTGTTGTTGATCAATGTTTTACCCGTGTATTTCTTAAGGGTGTTAATCTAAATAAGACGGAAATATCGTAACAATCACGTGACGTCATGATCGAGAGGATCTCGCTTCATGTAAGTGAGAAATTATACCACTTTTAGGGAGGGGAGGGAAAGAGGAAAATTGAACCTGAACCACTCTTACAAAAAGGAATTTTCCTAAAAATATACAACATTGGTCATCTATTTGAGTTTATACACTCTCTTTATTCGGGTAAACGATTTAAACTTGAAAAGTAATGCACCGGGCAATTAATCGAATTATTAAAAGTTGAAAATTCTATTTCTCCTGATATTCTCGGGCCTTGTTATATTGACCGAGTGATTGAAACAAAGTTCCTAGGTTTGCGTGGCTTGTTGCTTCTTCATCTCTGTCGCCAATTTCTATTCTGATAGCGGGTGCTTTCTCCTGATATTCTCGGGCCTTGTCATATTGACCAAGAGATCGGAACAAAGCTCCTAGGTTTCCGTAGCTTGTTGCTTTTCAAGAATTTGAAAAGAATTTTCAAATTCTTGAAATTCTTTTTCCTGAATGGGTCAAGCGAACCATGATGTTTCTTTATCATTACTGCTGGGGGAGCTGGTCACAAGCAACCGAAGATCCTTTTGGTTACCCCCCTGAGTAGTCTGAGTTGGTGAAGCTGTTGTTACCAATTTTTGATAACTTGAAGGAAAAATGAGAACTGTGATCAAAGATATTTAACAAAAACAGTGAAAACAGGAACTTATAAACTATCACGTAATATTTTAAGGAATTTGCCGCGCGTGAATGCAAAAAGAATACATAGCTGGAAGGGGAAGATAAAAATTGAAATTTTAAATTTAAAACTAAAATGATTTTCTACAAACAGTCCGTGTAAAAGTTTTCGCTAATTTCTCCTTTTTTTTTCAAACTGAGAAGAAACAGGGTCAAGATGGACAGCATAGAAGAAGCTTTATCAGCTATCACCATAGGTATAGTGGTCGCCGACTTCCTTCGCAAAACTGGTCGCGTGTTGCAGGCCATCGAGGTTTACAAGGAATGTTTGATTATATTACACAGTCAGGCGCAGGCTATCGATAGTTCACTGGCAAACTTAACGTTCCGAGCCATCTACAAGAAAATAATCTGTGCTTCCATTAATATAAAAGATTACATAATTGCAGAAAAATACCTCAGGGAACTCCTCCTATACCTAGATTCTAATGACACCACTAAAAAAGGATGGCTACATTTAAACCTGGCAGAAATACTTCAGCTACAAAGTAAATACATGGAGGCCTGGAATTTTTACGAATCAGCAATCAACATCATGAAAAACGTAGGAAACACACATGGCCAGGCACTATGTTACGAAAAACTCGGAGTAATGTTGCAGTCGCATAGCCAATTTGACAAGGCCCGAGAATATCAGGAGAAAGCACTCGCTATCAGAATAGAAATTGGGGACAGGAAAGGAGAGGCAACAACCTCCGGAAACCTAGGAGCTTTGTTCCAATCGCTCGGTCAATATGGCAAGGCCCGAGAATATCTAGAGAAAGCACTCGCTATCACAATAGAAATTGGTGACAGGAAAGGAGAAGCATCAAGCTACGGAAACCTAGGAGCTTTGTTCCAATTACTCTGTGAATATGACAAGGCCCGAGAATATCAAGAGAAAGCACTCGATATCAGAATAGAAATTGGTGACAGGAATGGAGAAGCAACAAGCTACGGAAACTTAGGAGCTTTGTACCAATCACTCGGTCAATATGACAAGGCCCAAGACTATCAAGAGAAAGCACTCGCTATCAGAATAGAAATTGGGGACAAGAAAGGAGAGGCATCAAGCTCCGGACACCTAGGAGCTTTGTTCCAATCACTCGGTCAATATGACAAGGCCCGAGAATATAAAGAGAAAGCACTCGCTTTCAAAATAGAAATTGGTGACAGGAATGGAGAAGCATCAAGCTACGGAAACCTAGGAACTTTCTTCCAATTACTCTGTGAATATGACAAGGCCCGAGAATATCTTGAGAAAGCACTCGCTCTCCAAATAGAAATTGGTGACAGAAATGGAGAAGCGAGAAGCTACGGAAACCTAGGAACTTCGTTCCAATCACTCGGTCAATATGACAAGGCCCGAGAATATCAAGAGAAAGCACTCGCTATCAGAATAGAAATTGGTGACAGGAATGGAGAAGCATCAAGCTACGGAAACCTAGGAACTTTGTTTCAATTACTCGGTCAATATGACAAGGCCCGAGACTATCAACAGAAAGCACTCGCTATCAGAATAGAAATTGGGGACAGGAATGGAGAAGCATCCGGCCACGGAAACCTAGGAACTTTGTTCCAATCACTCGGTCAATATGACAAGGCCCGAGAATATCAACAGAAAGCACTCGCTATCCGAATAGAAATTGGTGACAGGGATGGAGAAGCATCAAGTTACGGAAACCTTGGAGCTTTGTTCCAATCACTGGGTCAATATGACAAGGCCCGAGAATATCAGGAGAAAGCACTCGCTATCAGAATAGAAATTGGTGACAGGAATGGAGAAACATCAAGCTACGGAAACCTAGGAACTTTGTTCCGATCACTCGGTCAATATGACAAGGCCCGAGAATATCAGGAAAAAGCACTAGCTATGACAATAGAAATTGGGGACAGGAATGGAGAAGCATCAAACTACGGAAACCTAGGAACTTTGTTCCGATTGCTCGGTCAGTACGACAAGGCCCGAGAATATCAGGAGAAAGCACTCGCTATCACAATAGAAATTGGTGACAAGGATGGAGAAGCAAAAAGCTACGGAAACCTAGGAACTTTGTTCCAATCGCTTGGTCAATATGAAAAGGCCCGAGAATATCAGGAGGAAGCACTCGCTATTAGAATAGAAATTGGTGACAGGAATGGAGAAGCAACAAGCTGCGGGAACCTAGGAACTTTGTTCCAATCACTCGCTCAATATGACAAGGCCCGAGAATATCAGGAGAAAGCACTCGCTATCAAAATGGAAATTGGTGACAGGAATGGAGAAGCATCAATCTACGGAAACCTAGGAACTTTGTTCCAATCACTCGCTCAATATAACAAAGCCCGAGAATATCAGGAGAAAGCACTCGCTATCAAAATAGAAATTGGTGCCAGGAATGGAGAAGCATCAAGCTACGGAAACCTAGGAACTTTGTTCCAATCGCTCGGTCAATATGACAAGGCCCGAGAATATCAGGAGAAAGCACTCGCTATCAAAATAGAAATTGGTGACAGGCATGGAGAAGCAACATGCTACGGAAACCTAGGAACTTTGTTCCAATCCCTCGGTCAATATGACAAGGCCCGAGAATATCAGGAGAAAGCACTCGCTATCAGAATAGAAATTGGTGACAGGCATAGAGAAGCAACAAGCTACGGAAACCTGGGAACTTTGTTCCAATCACTCGCTCAATATGACAAGGCCCGAGAATATCAGGAGAAAGCACTCGCTATCACAATAGAAATTGGTAAAAGGGATGGAGAAGCATCAAGCTACGGAAACCTAGGAACTTTGTTCCAATCGCTCGGTCAATATGACAAGGCCCGAGAATATCAGGAAAAAGCACTCGATATCACAATAGAAATTGGTGACAGGCATGGAGAAGCATCAAGCTACGAGAACCTAGGAAGTTTGTTCCGATCACTCAGTCAATATGACAAGGCCCGAGAATATCAGGAGAAAGCACTCGCCATCAGAATAGAAATTAATGACAGGGATGGAGAAGCAACAAGCTACGGAAACCTTGGAACTTTGTTCCAATCACTCGCTCAATATGACAAGGCCCGAGAATATCAGGAGAAAGCACTCGCTATTACAATAGAAATTGGTAAAAGGGATGGAGAAGCATCAAGCTACGGAAACCTAGGAACTTTGTTCCAATCGCTCGGTCAATATGACAAGGCCCGAGAATATCAGGAAAAAGCACTCGATATCACAATAGAAATTGGTGACAGGGATGGAGAAGCATCAAGCTACGAGAACCTAGGAAGTTTGTTCCGATCACTCAGTCAATATGACAAGGCCCGAGAATATCAGGAGAAAGCACTCGCCATCAGAATAGAAATTAATGACAGGGATGGAGAAGCAACAAGCTACAGAAACCTAGGAACTTTCTTCCAATCACTCGCTCAATATGACAAGGCCCGAGAATATCAGGAGAAAGCACTCGCTATCAGAATAGAAATTGGAGACAGGAATGGAGAAGCATCAAGCTACGGAAACCTAGGAACTTTGTTCCAATCACTCGCTCAATATGACCTGGCCCGAGAATATCAGGAGAAAGCACTCGCTATCAGAATAGAAATTGGTGACAGGCATGGAGAAGCAACAAGCTACAGAAACCTTGGAACTTTGTTCCGATCACTCGCTCAATATGACAAGGCCCGAGAGTATCAGGAGAAAGCACTCGCTATCAGAATAGAAATTGGTGACAGGCATGGAGAAGCAACAAGCTACGGAAACCTTGGAGCTTTGTTCCAATCACTCGCTCAATATGACAAGGCCCGAGAATATCAGGAGAAAGCACTCGCTATCAAAATAGAAATTGGTGACAGGAATGGAGAAGCATCAAGTTACGGAAACCTAGGAACTTTGTTCCAATCCCTCGGTCAATATGACAAGGCCCGAGAATATCAGGAGGAAGCACTCGTTATCACAATAGAAATTGGGGACAGGAATGGAGAAGCAACAAGCTACAGAAACCTAGGAACGTTGTTCCAATCCCTCGGTCAATATGACAAGGCCCGAGAATATCAGGAGAAAGCACTCGATATCACAATAGAAATTGGTGACAGGAATGGAGAAGCAACAAGCTACGGAAACCTAGGAACTTTGTTCCAATCGCTCGGTCAATATGACAAGGCCCGAGAATATCAGGAGAAAGCACTCGCTATCACAATTGAAATTGGTGACAGGAGTGGAGAGGCAACAAGCTACGGAAACCTAGGAGCTTTGTTCCAATCACTCGCTCAATATGACAAGGCCCGAGTATATCAGGAGAAAGCACTCGCTATCACAATAGAAATTGGTGAAAGGGATGGAGAAGCATCAAGCTACGGAAACCTAGGAACTTTGTTCCAATCCCTCGGTCAATATGACAAGACCCGAAAATATCAGGAGAAAGCACTCGCTATCACAATAGAAATTGGTGACAGCAATGGAGAAGGAACAAGCTACGGAAACCTAGGAACTTTGTTCCAGTCACTCGGTCAATATGACAAGGCCCGAGAATATCTTGAGAAAGCACTCGCTATCAAAATGGAAATTGGTGACAGGAATGGAGAAGCATCAAGCTACGGAAACCTAGGAACTTTGTTCCAATCACTCGGTCAATATGACAAGGCCCGAGAATATCAGGAGAAAGCACTCGCTTTCACAATAGAAATTGGTGACAGGAATCGAGAAGCATCAAGCTACGGAAGCCTAGGAAGTTTGTTCCAATCACTCGCTCAATATGACAAGGCCCGAAAATATCAGGAGAAAGCACTTGCTATCAGAATAGAAATTGGTGACAGGAATGGAGAAGCAACAAGCTACGGAAACCTTGGAACTTTGTTCCGATCACTCGGTCAATATGACAAGGCCCGAGAATATCAAGAGAAAGCACTCGCTATCAGAATAGAAGTTGGTGACAGGAATGGAGAAGCATCAAGCTACGAGAACCTAGGAACTTTGTTCCAATCACTCGGTCAATATGACAAGGCCCGAGAGTATCAGGAGAAAGCAATCGCTATCAGAATAGAAATTACTGACAGGGATGGAGAAGCAACAAGCTACGGAAACCTAGGAACTTTGTTCCAATCGCTCGGTCAATATGACAAGGCCCGAGAATATCAGGAGAAAGCACTCGCTATCAGAATAGAAATTGGTGGCAGGAATGGAGAAGCATCAAGCTACGGAAACCTAGGAACTTTGTTCCGATCACTCGGTCAATATGACAAGGCCCGAGAATATCAGGAGAAAGCACTCGCTATCCGAATAGAAATTGGTGACAGGAATGGAGAAGCAACAAGCTACGGAAACCTAGGAACTTTGTTCCAATCACTCGGTCAATATGACAAGGCCCGAGAATACCAGGAGAAAGCACTCGCTATCAGAATAGAAATTGGTGACAGGAATGGAGAAGCATCAAGCTACGGAAACCTAGGAACTTTGTTCCAATCACTCGGTCAATATGACAAGGCCCGAGAATATCAGGAGAAAGCACTCTTTATCAGAATAGAAATTAATGACAGGGATGGAGAGGCAACAAGCTACGGAAACCTTGGAACTTTGTTCCAATCGTTTGGTCAATATAACAAGGCTCGAGAATATCAGGAGAAAGCACTCGCTATCAGAATAGAAATTGGTGACAGGCATGGAGAAGCAACAAGCTACGGAAACCTAGGAACTTTGTTCCAATCGCTTGGTCAATATGACAAGGCCCGAGAATATCAGGAGAAAGCACTCGATATCACAATAGAAATTGGTGACAGGAATGGAGAAGCAACAAGCTACGGAAACCTAGGAACTTTGTTCCAATCGCTCTTTCAATATGACAAGGCCCGAGAATATGAGGAGAAAGCACTTGCTATCACAATAGAAATTGGTGACAGGAATGGAGAAGCATCAAGCTACGGAAACCTAGGAACTTTGTTCCAATCGCTCGGTCAATATGACAAGGCCCGAGAATATCAGGAGAAAGCACTCGCTATCAGAATAAAAATTAATGACAGGGATGGAGAAGCATCAAGCTACGGAAACCTAGGAACTTTGTTCCAGTCACTCGGTCAATACGACAAGTCCCGAGAATATCAGGAGAAAGCACTCGCTATCAAAATAGAAATTGGAGACAGGAATGGAGAGGCAACAAGCTACGGAAACCTAGGAACTTTTTTCCAATCACTCGCTCAATATGACAAGGCCCGAGAATATCAGGAGAAAGCACTCGCTATCAGAACAGAAATTGGTGACAGGCATGGAGAAGCAATAAGCTATGGAAACCTCACATTTTTGTTTCTCTCACTAGGCATGTATGCAAAGGCTGACGGCTATCTAAAGAAGGCAATGGCAGTTAGAAAGAGTATCGATGATAGAATCGGAGAAGCAGCAGACTACATAAACCTTACTGTAATTTCTTGTAAGCGTGGTGAATATGACAAGGCTCAAGAATATTGCGAGAAAGCTCTTTCAATTTGCATGGACATCGGTGATAGAGAAAAAGTAGTAGTCTGCTACATCAATTTAGGATTGTGTTACCAATCTCTTGGTAAAAGTGACATAGCCGAAGGATACCTTAAGCAAGCTCTTTTATTAAGTAGGGATATTGGACACAACTTGAACGAGTTTTGCTGCCTTTGTGATCTAGCGGTGTTAATGGTGTCACAAGGTCATCTTGAAGAGGCTCTTTGGTATCTTTTTCAAGCCATCCAAAAGTTCGACACTTTGAGAGGTTTTCTTAAAGAAAACGATGAGTCTCAAATATCTCTTTTAGAGAGGTACGGCACCTTTCCCTACATGTTGTTCAGCAGGTTGCTCTCTGTCACTGGTAAGCCGCAAGACGCCCTTTATGTCGAAGAGCTGAGAAGGGCAAGAGGCCTGGCCGACTTGATGACAGATCGGTACTCTGTTCAAGAGCAGATCTCAAGCGATCCACAATCTTGGTGTGGTATTCAAGGGATCATCAGAAAAGAAGCAGACTGTGCATGCCTGTACATTTCGGTTGGTGAAATTTACGTACGACTTTGGATAATAAAAGCAACGGGAGCTATTCTTTTTTCACAAAAGAAAGTGAACCTGGACCCAAACAAGGTGACCGGAATAGTCCCTGAGTTAGATGACTTTTTTAAAGAACTGATGTCACCTCTTAACTGTCATTACTATGATACCGAAGATTTCAAAACAAGTCTTCACTTGTGTTACAACATAATCATTGCTCCCGTGGCCAGTTTACTGAAGCAGTCCGAGATCATAATTGTGCCTGATTCCTGTGTGTACCATGTGCCATTTGCAGCCTTGACTGACGAAGGAGGCAAGTATTTATCTGAGACATGCAGGATTCGGCTGGTTCCTTCTCTCACGACTCTAAAGCTTGTGCAAGACAGTCCTCCAAACCATCACAGTCAGACCGGGGCTCTGATAGTGGGTGACCCTGTGGTTGGAAAGGTGATTCACAAGGGAAGGTGCAGAAATATGATACCATTGCCGTGTGCAAGAAAGGAAGCAGAGATGATTGGAACACTTCTTGGCGTAAGGCCTTTAATAGGAGAGTCCGCTACTAAGCATTCTGTACTCCAAGCGATAAATTCAGTGAGCCTGATACACATTGCTGCGCATGGAGATCCCGAAAGAGGGGAGATTGCTCTTTCTCCTGAGCACCCTACCCTATTCCGACCTTTTCCTCGAGAAGAAGAGTATCTTTTGACGATGGCAGATATTTCAAAAACTCGGTTGCGAGCTAAACTAGTGGTGCTTAGTTGTTGTCACAGTGCTCGTGGACAGATTAGAACCGAGGGAGTTATTGGAATTGCCCGAGCTTTCTTAGGAGCCGGAGCTCGTTCAGTGTTAGCTGCACGATGGGCCCTGGATGACACAGCCACAGAGCAGTTCATGACTTGTTTCTACAAACATTTGTACCGCGGTGAAAGCGCAAGTGAATCTCTCCACAAGGCCAGGAAGTGGATGAGAAATAACGGCTTTGATAAAGTTTCTCAATGGGCGCCATTTATGATCATGGGCGACAACGTGACATTTGATTTTGTAAATTGACAGCCATGACTTTGATAAAACTTCTGTAGCAGAATGAACCGAACTTAGTAAAGCTCGGAACTATTTAATTACTAGCCTGTAGAAAAAGGACGCCATATGCGAAGGAAAACTCGGATCGATACACAGAGGAAAGCATTTCTGTAAAATGCTCATCAGACGTCCAAGTTTATCAATCTGAAACAAGACAACCTACAGTGTTATCTCTTTATAACAGTTCCGAAGTTAAAAACTCCAATCTATTTTTTAAGTTTTTAGTTCAATAAACAACCTAAGCGAAGTGTGACAATTTTTTAGGTTTCGAACGCGATTAGTTCTTCGAGGAAAGAAAATTTTTAATTCTTTTTCAAAGGTGATTAGTTAGTCAGTTCAAGAGACTTTTAAACAAATATGTGACTTGGAAAAGAAGTTTTATCTGAGCTTAAATTTTTGGAAATTTCTTGCAAGGCTTTTGACAAAAATGTTGTGGTTTAACATGCCAAAATAAACACATTTAAAGAAAAGAAAAAAGGAGATACTCTTAATCGTATAATAATGCAAACCTTTGTATTCTCATAAATACTCCAGTAATTTTATCAATTTAACCCTTTAACCCCTAAGACTGACTAGCATCTAATTTCTCCTTACAGTTTCACTCCTGAATCAAACATTAAGGTCATGAGAATAAAGGAAATGATCAACAAGTTCAGGAGCTCTTGGTTATTAAACAAATTCTCCTTGTCAGCACCTTAGGAAATGTATAGAGAACAGTATGGAGAATATTTATACTGATCTTGGTGTGTAAAGGGTTAATTGATACCCCTATGTGTAGATACCGTTGTATCCTCACACAGACTCTTGTATGCTTATAGATACTTTTGTATCCTCATTATCCTTCATTTTCCCTCTGCCGCTACTATTTCACTCCGTTTTATCAACTGAACGCCTGGAAAAGGTTACTTTATTATCAAAGGAAAATTTATGTAGGGGATTGCATTTTGTTGACTAAAAAAACTCAACAGATTTTTCGTCTGCTACCATTGTGCCATATCTATGAGTTATAAGACAATAAATATTCAATGAAAACCGAAAGAATACCAAATAAATTTGTATACGACAAAAATTTGCATGCGAGAAAAATAGTTCCTAAGAGCGTTGAAATGTATTTGAAATACACAAATATATACACATTGTAACTGTTGTTAAGTTAAAGATTAGGTTTGTTAGACATTAGTGACGCGTAAGATCAAAAGGGCTATTACAGTACCTTGTGCGTTATTGCTTGAGAGAGAGAGTTAATGCGAGAGAGTTATCTGCGAAGTTCATTACTGCGTTCATTTGCAACTTCTATTCAGGCGTACAGAGAGGACAATCGGTAAACGTATTTTTCCCTTCCCTTGTTGATTTCGTTTTATTATTTGATCGATCATTATTAGGTTTTTGTGCGCTCGTCTTTTCTTGTATTGTTGTGTAATAATTATTGTTTTAGCTTAACTCCGTGTAATGTTCCTTCGATTAGGTGTTTTTTGCTTGTATTTTAGTTTGACGTGTTTGACATCAGATTATTACTCTGCAATAAATCATATTGGAATCACGGTTATACGTGTCTGATGTCAAATTTAGTGCATCGATGTCCTTGTGAGAACTTTGAATTGCGACATCCCTACGTTGTAAAAGCCTGCATTTATATACACACACACGTATATATGTATACATATGCAGTTCAGCAAGATAACTTTTCCAGTATTTCAGAACACCGAATCAAATATATTACCGAGCGAACTTTTGATAAAAATGAAAAAAATTGTTAACGAGAAGACGTGACCTTAAAGTAACACCACTGAATAATTCTAAAGAGAAATAAAATGTAAAGTGATTGGCAGAGAATCACTGAAATGGTTCAAGCTGGCTTATAAAATGTGACTTATTGAACACCTTTGATCGAATAAGTGTGGATTATTTAAACGAGTTGCAATTGTCATCAGAATTTGTCCCACTTTCAGCTCAAAACAGTGTTACAATGCAGTGTAAACGTGGCAACATGTAAACCTGACTCATTTTCTGTCAACAAACTGCACTCTAACAGGTCTGTCAGGAATGGTGACACCTCTCATGAACGGTTCCACATTCTCTGCCTCAGGTGGGTAAGAGATGTCAAACTGCTGCACGATTCTGGCCATCAGCAGATGAAGCTCTAACTCGGCAATACGTCGACCGAGGCACATACGTGTTCCGAATCCAAATGGAAGAGAAGCGAAAGCTTCTGCTGATTCGATCAAAGTGATATCTTTGTTTCGCAACCATCTCTCCGGTTTAAACGCTTCGGCATCTTCAAAAATACTCTCATCTCGCCCCATTTGATGAACAAGGAACTCAACTTGAGCAGTGCCCCCAGGGATATGGTAGCCCCCTAATATTATGTCTTCTTTCGGTCTTCGCGGGATAGAAGAGAGAACAGGGTATAGGCGAAGGGTCTCTCTTAACCAGGCCTTCAGGTATGGCATACGAACGAGCGTTTCCGGCGTTGCAAAGGTAGAATTTCCTACCACTGAGAGCACTTCCCGTCGAAGAATCTTCTGTTTCTCAGGATTTTTGGCCAATATGTAAAGAACCCATTGCATCGTGTTGGACGTAGTGTCAACTCCGGCAAACAGAACATCGATTACGCTCGCCAACAGGTCATCCTTCGTCAGCTTTCCGCTGGCCAGGAGGAACTCGAAGAAGCCAGCTCGGTCACGCTCTGTTTCCTTTGATGGCTTGCATGACTTCTCCTTCAGTTCCTTGATTCTTCTCCCGATAAATAGTTCGGCGTAGTCGTACATCGTGTCAAAACTATCGAAAAACTTTTTAAATTTCTGGGTCTCGTAGATCTTGTAAAACCAATTTGGCAAAAAACCGACCTCCACCGCATTCGCCAGAAAATCTCCGACGGCTTTTATGAAGGTCTGTGCCTCTTCGTTGATTTCCTCTTCAAGACAACCAAACCTTTTGTCAAACAACACCTCCGCCACAGACTCAAAAGACCATTTGAAAAGTTCATTATCGAGTTCACAAACTTCGTTTTCTTTCTCTGACCCACTAGGCTCTCGAACTGATCGTAATCGGTGAATAAAATCGCCGATAATTTTATTGAAACTCGGAGTATAGTCGGCGACTTCTTTCGGTCGAAGCATTCTTTTACTCAGGACGCTTCGTAGCTTGTACCATTCTTCACCATCAGCAAAGAAAACACCAGGAATTTTCTTCCTTTTTTCCCGGTAGAAATTTAAAGCCGGAAAGTCCAGTCTTTCTGGATATTTGGGATCCGATCGAAGTAACTTTGCAACGTCGGCAGGATCGGATAAACTGATAATTTCGATGCCTGGTAGTTTGTTGCGGAATACTTTCCCATATTTCTTGACATTTTCTGCTTGGATTTCATAAAATCGCTTTCCAAGGGGCTGACCTTTCGTTCCCACAAAGAACGTCCAAGTTGTTCCGAAAACTGGAAGACGGAGCGGACCTGGGATTTCTGAGAAAGGTTTTGTTTTTCGTGCATCTTCGACTGAAATGGACGAAAGAGAACACATTGATGTCGACGGCAGAAAACCACGGAGACTATGGTTTTGTTTAAGCATGAACAAAATAGTCCGACCAGATGAGACAACGAGAGAGTGATTACTTTTCGTTCCAACAGTAAATGCCATCTCCAACAACTTCAGCTATCCAAACTCCGTAGATCGAAGGAATCATTCGTACTGCTATGGAACCTGGCTTTGTCGCGGCGAAGATCAGATGATTTTGACAGCTAGAGAATGGTCACGCACTCCACAGTGGGGTAGCATAACAAGCCAACACAACTATTCGTCACGTGATCCAAGATTCACCTACACAAGTCACTCAGATAACGACAAAATCGGTCAGATAAAAGTTTTAGCAAACTTGAGCTACACAGCTTGTGCGTATAAATCAGTATAACTGAAAAGCACAAGAAAGGGAAATTTAACTTGGAATTGTCCACCGAATTTTCGAAAATTTGCATAAACCTGAAATAGGTCTTTCGGACAGCCCACTTCTTTTGTTTTCTTTGTTTTCTATGGATAAGCCTATAAATCATTCAGTGTTGAGGTAGATAATGGTTTTATTGGAAACTCTGTGGGAGAAAACGGCTCTTGAATCGATCGACGTAAGAACGCTCGACTTTGACTCACTATCGTTGTTCTCAGTCCAATGTTTTTTCTGGTGGTCACCTAACTTTGTGAACGCTGTAGATATTTTTCAGTAACCAGCTGCCGCTTGCTGAGAGGAGAACTAATCTGACTAAGTTGGTGAACGAGGTTATTCATCAGTAGTTCTGAGAAACTGTAGTGCTTCGTCGGCGGGAAAGTGGGTCAAAATGAAACGCTTCGGTGGTTATCTAAAGCTGTGTACGCTGCAGCGAATATTTGGAAGCTGAGTCATTTCGAACATGAAACGGATCAGTATGACTTGAAGAGGTTCCCTTGACTGACGATTGTGTTACGTGTTACGTCTGTTTTTCGATTGAATAAAGGGATTAAGTTTCTAAAGAAACTGTGGTGCTGCGTCGGTGGGAGAGTATGACAACTGAAGGTAATTCATCCACTGAGCTGATAACATAAATTGGCCACTGTAGAGAGTTTCAAAGCTGACTTTTCCAGCGTTAGCCCTTCGTCAGAGAGAATGACGAATGCTCGAAACTTCTCTGTGAAAAACAACGTCACGTAAAATAAAGGTTCACTTGAGTTCCCTTTCAACGGCATTGGTGAAACACTCGGGCACCTGAAAAACTTTAGTTAAATTTTAAAAGACCTCAAGTGAAGCGTGATAAAGAGAGCCTCATGAAAATATTGCTGGGTAGCTTTCATTTGAAAGGTCACTCTTGGAATGATAGCCTGCAGAGCAGGCGTAATTTTGGCAAGCGAGTGCTCAGTGCTCTTTCAGTCTTACGGCAGAAGGCTGGAACGAGAGGGATGAATAAGAAAACGGATAGGCGGATTTAGAGATTATCTTTCTACGCATTTTGGATTCAGAACGAAATGTTAACGGTTTGCGGTTTTAATCAATATTTTGGGACCTAATTTTGGATTGTGCTTGTGATAAAAACTTCGCAACTTGGATCTCTGACATCTTTAGAAATGTTTTATTTTGCTCTTATGTATGTGCATCAACGCAGTTTTTTTTTGTCACGGACGAGACTCGCCGAATGTCACGTTGTAGGGAAACAGTAATGGCGCTCTATGGTCAGGAAGCTGTGGCATAAAGCCAGTAAACTGCCGCCCCCTACCCTCCAAAAGAAAATCTGGAAGTGGCCCCTTCCCGATTTTCTTTTGGAGGGTAGAGGGCGACTGTACATGGGATAGCAACATGTTACCAGCGGAACATCTTGTCTTCGCGCTTTTATCAGCTTGGATTATCTAACAATTTCATTACTGGGTCGTGCGTGGTACTATTTTTAAGCTTTTTTACTTTTCAAACAAACCAGCGAGCAGCACTCTGCGAAGCGTTTCGTCTAACTGTCGTAGACTTCTTCAGGGAGTTTTACTGATGAACATTAAAGGCCCGTATTTATAAGTGATAGTTGGCCCTTATTACGTGAAGAACGTTTTAAGCTGAAAGTGAGAAAAAGGTTTGGGAGCCACGGTTTTAAATCTTTACGTCACCTTCCCTTAAAACTTTTCTACAACTTCTCCAGTTCCTGTTCGTAAATCCGGCTAGGCCTTTACAGTGTTTGACCCACGCATGGCCGCTAACCATGGCTTATAAATACCGGCGTGTAGTGTTTACAAATAAAAATCCCTGGAGAAGTCTACGACAACTAGAAGAAACACGTTGGAGAATAAAACAAGGTTTACAACGACTGTACTACAACTCTTTGACAGCAGAATAAACAGTCCCACATGAAAGGGCTTCTCCGTAGCTTTCATTTGAATGGTCAAACAGCAAAGTGACAGACAAACACAGCGACAGCAGAACTTTAAAAGGTAAAGATAGAGTCGTGCCAAATAATTTACAAACTAGTAAAGGAGACGGATTCGCTCCTATCTCTACTTATCCCCAAAGTTAGCGCTACATTTCAAGGAAAAACGCACAGCACCGACATCAAAAACAAACGCAATACATTTACAAGAGCACAGAGATAGCAACCGGCAGAAAACTGTCCGAACAAACGAATGAGGTATTTTACATGGATGCATTTAAGGAGATAAATTATTTCACATCCTGGTAAATGAAATAACAGAAACGACAAAACTTTGTATTTACAATTTTTCTCCGAAATTTGAAATGTTAATAACGCCTAAATACAAGCTAAGACTATCTTGAACTAATCTATATCAAACTAAAAGTTAAGAGCAAAATCCAATTGAGTGTCCAACGTATAAAACCTAGACTACCTTTCCTTTGCTTAAATACCCTTTGCGATTGGTCAAGAAAACTCGCACCATCCTCTCCACCAATCAGATCCAAGGCTAAACACCACTCGCGACTTGGCAACGTACGTTTTCCCGCGCTTTCCTCTGATTGGTTGTTTTACTTTGAGATCCCACTGGCTCCTTTCAGAAATTTCAATTTGTTCTCATCGTTCGTTGAGATTACAAGGCCAATTCTTTGATCTTGCATTGGCGACATTCAATTGAAAAGCGCTCTTACAAAGCTTGCTAAAACTAACACCCTAACTAATATTAGAAACATTTTTTAAGACTGTTTCCTCGGCTAAGAATAATATGTACAAAGTAAAACTAAGGTCTTTTACTAACTAGGATCTCTTATATTCAGCTCCAAACTTTTTCATATAGTTCTTAATGTACTCTTTTGTTTTGATTTTGACAGAGTCATTGCACTGCAATGAGTCATCTTCTTTTAAGCGGCTCATCTCCTTATTCAGGATTCCGTGCGTTAACTGCGGAAGAAAAGAACGTTCCTCAGCATAGTTAATTTCAGAAAGAAGACACTTGAAATAAAATTTATCTGACCCCCCCTTAGGCTCTGTAGTATTCGAGCGATTCCCCCCTTTTCTGTAGCCCCCCCCCCCTTTAATACTCTGTTCGCGGCGACTGATAGAACCACCTTGTTGAGCAAATTAAAACATTACCATGCCAGCGACAATTTTCAGTATTTTTCATTTGGACGCTGTAGACCAGAGTTTCATCCACAGACTTGCAAAATTGGATCTAATTCACTTTGTAAATACTACCGACTGAAGTAACGCTGACTTGATTTCTACAAAATAAATTAAGAATTAAAAGGTTCAGCGAGAGAAACACACACCTTCCTTGCCAAATACTTGAAATCGTCAGTATTCAGGATCCTGCCTGATTTACAGTCAACTTTGAAGAAAGGATTTAGGCAGTTAACGACCACATTAGAAAGCTGCGGAGAGAAATATTGAAAACGAAAATACACCAGTTAGTAAACAGATATACAGTACATCCGAAACAATGTTAGAATTTACCTGGGTGAGCAAAACAACAGGAATAATATGGTTCTGAAACCGATAAAAATTGCGTGACATGTTGAGAAAGAGGCCATGGCGTAACACTGGCCTCACAGGCTCTGGGAAGGTAACGTCACCACCGAGACGGACTCAACTGACCTTCATTCTAAAAAGCTCTCTGTTCTTGCTCTGGTGTGACGAGGAGCTGCTTGAGGTACCATCTCTCAGCAAGTAATCCCCCCTCCTGTGTGCAGTGGTATCTGCTGGAGCTGTGGTATAGGTAAGCGTCGGGCTTTCAGGGGGGGTCTCCGGAGGTGTTGTAGGAGCCTTTGCTAATTTCTTTATTTTTGGTTTTGGTGGTGAATCCTGGAGGAATAACAAGAAGAGTTGACTTCAGATTTCATTCTGAGTGGACAAGGAAGTAGTTGCCACAATCAAGTTGCTGGTTTGCCTTACCTCGTCCATATCAACGTAGCTGTGAGCAGAAATACTTGTATGATCAGGTTCTGGGACAACATAAGGGTGTTCTTCCTCTGATGAAGGGCTGCTGTCCCAGCTTGGAACATCCCACTGGGTTTTCCTACGAAAAGAAAGAAAGTTAAATATGAGGATCACTGAGTTGGGGGGGGGGGTGGAAGGGGAAACAACATAAACCCACTCTCATTGCGTTGGTAAAAGCTTCATAAATTGGAATTTCGTAGGAAATTCTCTAATGGACAAGTTCAATTTTTTTTCGTAGACGCTGTTGGGCGATAGTCGCCAGGAATAAAATTATGGTCGAAAAAGAAAATACAAGAAAACAAGACATGGAAGAAGACATCTGGAGCACGGCCACTGACCAAGGGCCCGGGACACACTTTTAACTCTCTCATGAAAATCAAACGGCTCTAGCGATGTTACTTGCTGAAGAAAACAACACAATCAGTTTCCAATAGATGATTAACACTTCCAAGACCTAGAAGTAACTAACTCGTCACATTTATCGTATGACAAAAAACCCAAATTCACAGTGGGCATTGAGCAATAATAAAGCCACATTTCTAACAAACAAGTAAGATTCCTCACCTTGTTAGGGCATGATAGTAGTAAACTTTTCCTTGGCTATCGGTGGCTGATTTCCAATGTGGAGGGAGATGCCCCGGTGGTTTGTGTTTCACAGGTGATGGCGTGCACGGTTCTGAATCTGAAGGAAAGCCCTCTCTGCATTCAAAGGCATCTGACATCGACGTCGTCACAGCTCCAGTTTGAACAGAGAGCGACCCCAACTCGGGGTGTGGTACACTTTCTGTTGGACCAGTCACCTGCTGCAGAGGCCCTGGTATATTTCCAGCTGAATTCCCCTGTTCAGCGGCCGCGATGTTGAGGTTTGGAGGGGGTGTATTAAATTGAAACTGATTCTGCTGTGGTGGAAAAGCAGCCTGGATGCTTTGAGGAAATTGCTGTTGAATAGGGTTAGGGTTGGAGTGTGAAAACTGTGTTGTTGGTGGAGTCGTAACATTGGCTTGAAAAGGTGGCGGAGGAGGAAGCCGAGTGTAAGAGGGGGTAGGTTGACTGGGTGAAAAGAACTGCGATTGACTACTCTGAAGGGGTGGAGGAGGTACTTGCTGTGGTGGCGGTATAAGCGGATTTGGCTGTAGCTGCTGAGGAATCATTGGATGAGTCTGCGGACGGATATTAGGTGGTGGAACTTTGCGAAAAAATTCCATAGGTGACATATTAGGAGGAGGTACATTAAAGTTTGGTAGTGGTGGAGGTTGTTGAGAGAAATTTCCCACAAAACTTCCAGAAACTATACTTTGTGGCCGTGGTCCTTGATCTTGTCCAACTGCTGGTCCGCTGCTGCAGAAGAATTGGTTTCCCATTTGGAAAGTCGCAGGGGGATTTTGCGACTGACCTCTCCACTGCGTTGCCGCACCTTGCTGAGGTCTTAAGTTTGTTTGAGGATTCACGTTAAAGTTCCCAGCGTTTTTATCTACCAATCCTTGAGGATTTCTTCCCTGTTGCTGAAAAAAGTTCTGCAACTGATTCCATTTTTTCTTTTTCTTTTTGCTGCGGCCGGGTTTATGTTGGAAAGAGCCCATCCCATGCTCCACACTGACGCTCATGCGCTGTTGATAACCGAATGTCTGCATCATGTTCTGTGATTTCGAATCTTGTTTCTGAGTAACTTCAACAGAATCCGACACCCGTGAACTTGAATGAGTTCCTTCTCCTTTATCAGGAGTTGAATCCGCTTGGGTATCCACGTCTTCTCCGAATTCCAAAGCACTGAAGTCACCAGTTTTTGACGGAGGGGTAGCACTCGAAGAGTCTTGCGGCATCTCAGTGTCTTCACTACAGGTAGAGAATCCCTGAGAAACGGGCGGAGTTCTGGATTCAGATGGATAGAGGGGTTTGGGAGAGTCCTGTAAACTCTTCATGATGGCATCTAATTTTCCTGGAGAACCGATGTTCTCAATGGGAGTCCTACAGAAATACAATCATAGATCAGATCAGAGATTCAAAGACCATTAATAGAGTAACTTTTAATTGAGTCTCCAAAGTAATCTGGGTTTGTACTGGTTTTACTCTACTCTGCTCTATGATTGGTCCGAAAAACTCGCGTCACTCTCTCGACCAATCAGATGCAAAACTACTATCAATCACGACTTGGTCGCCCGCATTTTCCTGCCCTTTGGGCGGTTTGCTTGTTTTTACTCTGAGTTTTCATTGGCTCTTCAGGGTATTTTCCTTTCTTCTTTCCATAATAATCACTTTGGTTTTGTTTTGAGGCACTCAATCGAAAAGCGCTCTAGGAATGGTAACCCTTATTTTCCCAGACGATATAAAAATTCATCTTCTCAACGTAGAAATTCTTCAAACCTGTTCTTTTTAGTGATATATGTTCTCTTATTAAATTTGTTGTCTCACCTTGCATGATCACCGTCACCACTTCCTATAAAAAAACATCAAATTAATCACTTTTTAACAATCAGTTTTTCCAAATTATGATGATCCTCATGGGAAGTTAAGTTCTTTCTTTGTCCCGCCCCCGTGAAACAACAAATGAAATCTGAAAAAAACTTTGTCGCACACATGGTTTACACAAAATCCACTCTCTGATGAAAATGCGTAACTATATCAGGGTTCCATGGTCAAAAAACTGATCAATCACGCAATAAACAAGATCATGTAAAACAGAGTTTACCTACCTGCTGGGCTAGCTGCGACTAACAACTCAGCAACACGGTCTTGCTTGGCCTCAACAAAGAGAACAAAGAGAATCAGACGATCATGCAATTGAATGCCAAACAAACAACAACAACATTTAAGACCATCTACCAAATTGCAAAAGTTAAAAGCAGCAAAATGGAATTTGATACCAACACTCTGGCTAACTAAGAATACACCCTTTTTTTCAGCAAGAGAGTTTCACCCTCTCCTTTTGCATCAACGATCGGCTTAAAAAAAAAAAGGTAAAGCGAAGACAAACTACAAAATAAATAAATAAATAAAACACAGAGAGGAAAAATGCCCACTGTTTCGAGTGTCACTTTAAGAATACTTACTGGAGTTGCAGTTTTCTTCGGTATTCGGTAAACTTCCTACAAACAAAAACAAGGCAAAAAATGCCCCAGTTCTAACGCGTTAGACTCTGGCTCAAGGGTCTGAGGTAAAGCTCTAGTTTGTTGAGTCGAGTTCGAACGATTTACAAACAACCACACCAGCTTGTAACTCACGGTGTTTTAAAAACGTATAACCTTTTTGGTAAAACGCAAAACAGAGTAGAAAATCAACTGGGTACCCGTACTTGAATAAGCTTTGTGTTTGAAAATTCTCTCGGTTTCCTTTTCCCTCTCTTCGTATCCTTGTACAAATTTCTATGAACGTTCCAATTTGCTCTCGCTTACCCTTTTAGGCTACAGACACGAAACCTTAATGGGCTATCGTGCTTTAAGATATCCTTTTTCCCTCGAGTATCTGGTTGTTGTTAATTTAGATGTGTTAAATGAGAGACAAAGAAAGTTGTTACTTAGGAAATGAAGCCAAAGACTCCACTTAAATGGAATTAAAATCACCCCGCCTCCCCTCCCTCAACAAACTATTACACATAAACATATCTTGTTCTGACAAGTATCTGGTTGGCAAAATGGCATCACCTTCAGTGAACTCCATGACTTCAACAGCTCATTCGCCTTTAGTCCGATGCCACTTTCAGGCAATCGCTCGTCCTCAGATCTGAGGTCGTCCTCTGAAAGGTCATCAGGGGATTTCTCAAAGTTCTCTGGCAGCAGTTTGTTCTTTATAGTCCTGCTATCTACAGTCTTGTCGACAATAAAACTGGCCACTTCTGCATCCAAAGATTCATCATCTGATTGGTCCTTGATAGAGCTTTGCCGTTCAAATAGCACAAGGCTACCAATAGCTTTCTTATCTCCATCAATGGATTTTGCTAACTGCTGGTTTTCGTCATCATTATCTTCTGTTCCTGCCGTACATTCTGAATCTGCCGGACTGTTTCCATGTGACTCCTGTCCACTGCTGGACCCCGCTTCAACAGTCGGACAGAATGACGACGCCCATTTTCTCACCACCTTTATTACCTTGCTATCTTCAAGTTGGTTCTTTGTTGCTATAGGAAGGCATTTCAATGTCTCTAGCAACTAGAAATCACAATATTTGAAGATAACAGTTAATTTCTTGCCTGTATAATAATGATAATGTTGAACTCTAGTTATAGAGGGTGCATAGAACAGTGTAAACTGATAAACTGATGGCTCTAAACAAAAAAACACTAACAAATCCTTGACGTGCATACAACTCTTGCTACACTGGTGTAGCAAATTTACTTTCTTGTTGAACATTTTCCGGAATGATCATTCCTGTAATTCTCCTGAGCTACTATATAACTCTGCTAGGAGAAAGTACACATTGACCATCACCTCTAACTGAAGTTTCATTTTCTTTCCTCCACCGTCCACCATCCAGCTCCAAAGTAGAGAAAGCCCCTGATACCTGAGGAACCCTTTTAAACATGACTGGTCTGTGGTGTGCTATAAAAACATCACAAAAAACAATCAAACAAACTTGTAGACAAAGAGCACATTTTAAGCAATTAAAAAACCACATTTATATGCTACAGAATGTTATGACTGTAACTCTTCATCTGTATATAGCTGTTTTCAAGAAGGGTTGTTGGAAAAAGGAAAAAATTACACAAACAAACTTGTTGGTCATCTGGGGTTCGGTGATCAATGAATTTTAATAAGTAAAAAAAAAAAATAAATTCATCAAACCCACCATGCCTCTTCCTTACAGGGATGCTTTCTCAGATTTGCTACTGTAAAGTCCTGAGGTCTAGCGACAGTGACCTGGAAACTACCCACAATACTTTTTGTGCTTGTCTTGTACTCTTAAATGCTTTTTCCAACAACTTTTCTCAAAACAGCAGTATATGAAGGAGAAGGACTCCCCTTTCAAACCAACAACCATCCTCATTCTTCCCCCTCCTTCCACCCCATGGTCATTGTTGGGATCTTCTGTTCTAGCAGCAGAGTTTGAATTGGGAGATTTCCTAACTTGGCCTGTTTATACAAACTTTTATTTAATCCATACATGAATATTTTGAGTGAGTCCATACAGATGAGTAGCACAATCACCATACCCACTTCCGTAACATGTATGGAAAATGTGAAAATTGTTAGTTTGGGACAAAATCACTTCTTTAGGTCTGTTTTAAATTCACATTTACTATTACAACTGATTTATTTCAAACTATTTTATTTTTGTCACATTTGATTCAAATTTGTATTTACCCATAATCCCTTGTGGGTGTGGTCTTTTTCACAAATAATCAATTTCGAGTTCACTGACACAGTAAAAAGTAGAAATAATAACATTTTGTATTACATGGAGGCTAGTATCTCCCTAGTGAGATCAACTGGCACTCTAAAAACTGACTTTCTGCCTCTTTTTACAACTTGAAGATCACATCACCATTTTTCTATTGGAAATTCAGCTCTCTTTTTGCGATTCTTTTCATTATATTTTAGATTCCTTAGCCTATTCTTTTCCTGCTTTTTCCTCCTCCACTCTTTGATCCTCGCAAGCTTTTCTTCCTTTTTGTTAACCATACCTCTTGTCAAGCGCACTTGAAGCGATATTTACGGATGGCTAAATCTCAGAAAAATTGTTGAGCTTGAAGACTCCCGCTTTTGGTGGCATTTGTGGCGAGACTCCGTTCTCAATATGGCGTCAACATGGTAAAAAGCGTAGCGACTCGGTCAAAAGTGAATATTTTGGCCGTTTCTAAAGATATGGACTCGAAAACTTAGAAATAACAAGAGAAACTTATGAGCATTGAAGTGTAATCGATTTCGAAACCCGACTTTGCCGTGTTTGAAGTATAGTAGCGAAGGAGCAGGTAAGTTGATCAAAAATATTATTGCGTAATCAGGTTCTACAAAACCGTAGCGACTGTTTTACACTGATATTTCTCCGTTTATAGTCAATCCTTTAGACTGATTTTTCGCTATTTTAGAACACTAAGTATGAGCATTTGGTTAATGTGTTTTTGTTCCCACAGGATTCCAGTTCAGTCATTCTGCGGACAACAACTTGGTGTACTTCCAAATTCTGAAACCCAGCGTTACACAAAGGATACTTAAGAATGATAAATCTTTTCTATGCGTTTTAATAAACTTGAAATGTCAAAGTTTTGCTCAAATGTAGTGTTTATTGTGTGTTATCATTAGGTGTAATTTGTTTGCTCAAACGAGCTTTCTTTCAGTGAAAAATGTATTTAAAAAATTTTACCACTGAGATTGTGTTACGCGTTACAACCAAAATTGGCTCGATTTTTCATCTTTCACGGGTATTTTCTCAAAGACAGCAATGTGGTTTTCTGATTTTTTGCTTTTACTATAATCAATAAGAACAACTTTACCTGTAAGCAAAGATTTGGCTTCAATGAAAATGTAAAATAGAAGAAATCATTGAAAGTTTGCAGTCAACCCCCTATGGGCATGGTGATTGTGCTACTCATCACACAAAGAATAAAAATTGACACATGCTACTCTATATCAAGTTTTTTATTTGAATAAAAGCACTTGTTTTCAGCAAGATTTAATTCTGCCAGCCTTCTTTGAGAGGGATTGTCCAAGACACACATGGAACTGGTTATCAAATACCTGAAGGATTTTCAGAAGCATTATCCTCTGTTCCATAGACTCTGCCTGCACCATCAATCTGGACAGCCTCAATGCCTGGTCACTGTGTACCAACCCTCTGTGATCACCTAGAAGTTTCTCAACCTCATCTTCCAACTTAAAACAAAATTAGAGAATAATGTCTTTTGGTGAAAAAATTGATTGCAATAACAGCTTTGTGAAACAAAAAAAGTGCCTCAAAGTTCAGTTGCAAATTCATATCATAGACATCAACTTGCAGTCTGGTAGGTGAAATAATATTGAATTTCATCAATCATTGTGTTAGACGATGTTTACCAAAACTAACTCAAATTTGAGAAAAGTTGTGACACATTTTTGAGTCAAAGGGAATTCCCCTTCACTTCCAAGTGGATATTTACTAATAAAACTATGTATCCTACCACAGAAAACATACATGCAAATGAGCAATCTCACCAGGGACAAGCTAAAGAACAGGCCATGGTTGTTGGGAGAGTGCATAACACTATCCACTGAAGAAGTCTTTATCCCGTGGATGGCACAGTAAATTGGATAGCATTTTACAACTGAACCCTGCTGGATAGCCTTGTCTAACAAAGCTATAACTCATTAAGTAACAAAACCGTATACTATAATGATTTGTCTACCTACATGTACTATATTACATTTAATATTTAATATTTCAGCTAAAAAGATGGGTGCTTATTGGAAGGAGGGCACGGAATTAAGGGGAGTGCTTATTACTCTCCTGTACTGATTGCCCTTTGGTTGAGGCAATAGAAACAGGTTTTCCTTGTGTCCCTATTATTTAGGAAGGTGAGGAAGGAGGGGGGAGCTGCTTCTTTTGAGATGGGCACTTAAGGCCTGAGGGATGGACTCTTATTTGGGAGAGGGTGTTTATCAGAGCTTGGGCTCTGATTCAAGGAATAAATGTATATCAAAATTTAATTTCCTACGACAGATGATTTCAACAATGCTTACTCAGGCTCAATGCTAGATGTAAGTCACATATGAATCTAGTAAACAACTTGGCTGGCTATGGAGTTCCTTGAAGCTCAGTTGATAAAGAATTTGAACATGATAACAGGCTGGAGATCATACCATTAACCTGACTGGAGTACAACCCATTTAAATATGTTCTTCATCCACATAGTTGACAATTGAGTAACAATTAAGCAGGGTTTTAGATACAAATCACAGAAGGCCACAAGGAGGAGGGACTAAGGAGAGAAGAGATACCCCCTGACAAGTGCACAACCACTTGAAGGGGTCTAGGGGCACACCAACCCTCCTCCCACCCCTCCCTCCATAAAAATGCTAAAACTTGGGTCTCAGAGAATGTATTTTGTGCACTTAGAAGTAATAATCAGGTTATTTCAGTGAAACCAATCATTGTCATTTCACTCAGTGAAGTAGCCTACTAGCTTAACAGACCACAAGCCCTTCTTGAAAATCCTGCTCATTTTTATTTAGATGTCATTGCTGTTTGGTATAGTGATCTACTGATCAATTCTGGGTTTGAAAAGCCTTAAAATGACCAAAGAATTTACCAGCACACATCACAGCAGTGCTGTTATTGTCTCTACTTGGGAAAAGGTTAAGATATCAGCTCCTTACCTCATCAGCTCTCAATGTCATGAAGTGGTAGTATCTTCTGTTTTCTCTATCATAACTCTCTGCTCTTTCCTGGAAATCTTTGTAGTTCTCCACAGAAATCCATAACAAACTGATTCCTGAACAACAGTTACAACTTTTAATTGAGTGACAAAAGTAATTGGGTATTGTTTTTGTTTTTTGCTATACTCTGCTCTGTGATTTGTCCAAAAAAAAAAAAAAGGAAGGTGAAAACATGACCTGTTTATGACATAAAGACCTGCAAAATTAAGTACCAATAAGGTATTTCCTTCCTGAAGATATAAGTAAAATATAAACTTACAATTCCAGATCTTCAAGAGTTCTCAATCCCCAGCCTTTCTTCTCTGTTTTAAACACTTCAACTTTCACTTTACAGCCCTGCAAAAAGTGCTGTACATGTACATAAATTTGAAATCCTCTCATGGCTGATATTAGCATATAAGTATCATCTCTCATGAAAGCATATTTAACTCCCAGAAGTGATTAATATGTAACTTCTCCCTATAATATCTATATATCATCCAGCAACAGGTAAGGAGAAACTCAAACTTATCAGGTAGAAATTGTTAAATTGATCGAACACCAAATTCTCATCACTACTTAAAAATGAAATGTGTAGCAGCTAGAGGAGAGAATGAACAATCAGATCTTGAGAGTTAAAGGGTTAAAATACCCATTATCTTTGTCAAAGAGGCAGTTGCTTCAACAGCTAACCCTTACCATTTCAGTAACATCAATCTTAATGTTGTAATGATAGTTTCACTAACCTGTTTCACATCTCTCCACAAGCACTTCTGCTGTTACTATTTGGAGATCAATGTGATCGACGATGACAATGTGAGAAGGAAGACTTTTGGTAAAATTAACCAACAAGAGAGGAAAAGATACCAACCATTCTATCATCAACAATCTGTTCAGACAGTCCTTGCCACAACCACTAGACTATGGATCATCTGTTAAAAAATATTGCTATATGTTCAACGAAAAAAATCATGTTTCCATCCATCTGTTCAGTAAAAAATTGGATCAATGTCAGTATCTGATCAACTGAGCACCTACCCTTCCCCTAGCCCAACATTAATCCTAACTTGTTATCAGTTGACTGTGGTTGAATTAGGGGAGGAGTAGGTGAGCAGTTGTTCAGATATACAATATACAAATGGATTTCAGGACGCCATGCCTCTTCACAATGATTCGTTTCCTGTTTGAAATGACTTGGCCTTCAAATATTCACTGCAGAGTACACAGTTTAAGAAAACCACCAAAGTGTTTCACTTTGACCAACTTTCCCACCAATGATGCACCACAGTTTCTCAAAACTACCGATGAATAACCTTGCTCACAATCTTGGTCAGATTAGTTCTCTTCCCAGCAGCGTAACGATTTTGTAAACTTTGCCCCATTTACTAGAGATACAATTCCAATGAACTAGACTCAATCAAACTGTTTTATTCCACTCTCATATTCACCCATTTACAACGGGTGTGTAAAGAGCTACTCTGCATAACTTGTAAGAAATCACTCTCTTTTATGATATTCTCTATATTGTGATTGGTTGTTACTAAGTACTGATTTAAAAGGTTATTCAAGATTGCGTCAATCATGCAAACCAATCAATATCAAAAAATCACAAAAGGCGGTGCTTCTAGCTCTTGACATAATGATCACACTCATCATCTGACATGTGTAATGCACGAATCACAAAGTCTCCCACAACAAGCAGTGTAATGATCAGCAGCAGCAGCTGGTTACTGAAAAATATATACAGCATTCAAAAAGTTGGGTGACCACCAGAAAAAAAAAATTGGAGTGAGGCCAACTATAATGAGACAAAGTCGGGCGATTTTATGTTGCTCAATTTAAGAGACATTTTCTCCCACAGAGTTTCCACTGAAACTATTATCTAACCTGACTCTGAATGAGCCAGAAGCTTATCCATAGAAAACAAAGAACACAAAAGAAGTGGGCTGTCTAAAAAGACCTATTTCAGGTTTACGCAATTTTTGACAATTTCAAGTTAAAATTTCCCTTTCTTGTGCCTTTCAGTTATTTATACGATTTATATGCAAAAGATGTGTAGCTCAAGTTTGCTAAAACTTTAGGTTAACTGATTTTGTTGTTATTGAAGTACTCCACTGTGTAGGTGAATCTTGGATACATAACAAATTGATGAGTTGGCTCGTTATAATGCACTCAAGATGACTTAAATTGTGGTGAAGTTTCCAACTCAGATCTGTATGAATCAATGGAAGACATCACACATTGTCTACCTTTTAAAGTTATGGGAACTTGCTATTCTGAAAAATACCAGAAAGCATTAGCCTACCAGTATCACTATGAACATAATAAACACATCTTTGCTAACGTTAAGGCTGAACCTGACAAACCCTATGACAAAAATGCAATTGCAGTATACATAATGTCTTCCTCAGACGATGAGAAAGTTGGCTATCTACCCACTTAATTAACAAGATTTGTACATCCTCAACCAAAGGATCTAAAGCTTGAGGTGACAGTGAAGCAAATCAGGTTTTGTACCACATTTCTTATGAATGGTTTTTAATTAACAATTGAAATTTCCACAACTGATCTATGGAAGAAGCCATGCAGTGATTAAAGCCAGCCGCAGAGTAAAGTGATAGGAATTAAATGTTCACAAAGAGTGAATCCTGCAAAATGGCAGAATTAAGGAGTTCTATTTAATTTGTGCTAGTAATTTCAATGAGAGAGATATCTGTTTCATGTAAAATTTCACTTGCATCACAGGCATGGCACTGTCTGGTCTGGGATTGCACCAAACATGGAATAACCTTCTGGCCCTCTTATTGCCCTGATTTGTTATGGCCTTGGCTATATAAACATACCGCTGCACAAATAAGATATTTCTGACAAAGTTGAAGTTATTAAAAACATTGATGAATCTAGTGTCACAAAGTGATGTATAACCACAGGCGGCCCAAGTTCCAGCTGTGAGATGATCATCTTGCAAAATAAGAGTCATGGCGAAATTACAAGAGTTTGTATGGGAATATTTCGAACCGCTGTTAGGAATAAAAAGTACGGTCAAATTCTCGATAAAAATACCTCACCTTACTTCCACAGTGTATCGCTTGCTGTCTGACCACTTACTATGTTGAAAAGAACCCATTTTGGCGAGTTATTTATTTCTAGGTTTATTACGTACATAAGAAAAGCCCAAGGCTGCACACTCCATTTCCGAACGCCCGATCCGAGAAGCGAAAAATACGAGCTCAAAATGGCCGGGCGGCCACAAGTCCAACGCAGAATCCAAGCACATATACTGTAGTTTCATTTCAATTCACTTCAAACTTAACCTTCCCCGTGAAACCGAAGTACGCCGCAGTTTGCTTCAATAATTTCCAGTTTAGACGCGTACCCATTCACCTTGACGCACGACCACTGAAAACCAGCTTGGCAACCCTTCCTCCTTTATAAACTGAGCCTCGCCGGGGATCACACCGTAACTTGGCACCCGTGGTTCTAAGACAATTTCTTCATGCCAAGTGACGACTAGATTTCTGAGCCAAAAGACAATGTTTTCGCTGCTTTATTAAGACGCGAGAAGTGATATTCAAGATATTACACGATTGAATTACGTGACAGAGTCACTAGTCACGGTGTATTTCAGTGTGTGCTGTTATCGCCAATTGTACCAAATAAAATCCTGTAGTTTGGTTCTGAAATGTTCTTACAGTTTTGAATAGCGTACGCTGTCAGAACTGAAATATGAAATAACAGAAGCCAAATTTTTAAAAAAGAGTTTGCCATTTAAATGTTGACCGAGAGCGCTAATCAAATTATGATATTCGTAACGTTGTTGTTGACGTCTTTCGTCACGAGATAGTAAAATTTGTCAAATTTTGGCCTTTTAGAATGTTTAAAGTATTAATCGGTGTGGACTAAAAACTCTTTCCCACTATCTTTTAAACTTAAAACGGTTAAAATCTGAGATTTATTGAGCTACCTATATAAAACGGTCGGAGTTTGCTCAATGAACTAATTTGCATAATCGGCTGTCACGCTAGCAAAATCGCTAATAGTTTGAAGTCACCACGGCGAAAAAAATTAATAGGTGCAAGATGTATTTATATTTTTCTGCTGCCAAACATCTTATTAGAAGAAACCAAGCGGAGTTTTCAATGGTCTGGTGTGGACTTGAGCAATATCAACCAAGAAAGAGAGAATACTTTTGAACAATTTCAGAAAGCTGTCGACTAACGAGTGTCTTTAAATAAATTATGACGAACCTCTGAATAAACGAATATCAAAATTGAAATGCGCTTTATACGCCTTATATATCACAAAGTTTAAGAATGCAAAAGATTTTTTTGCTGCATGCGGTGTGATACGAGGACCGGGCTTTTCAACTTTTGAAATTTACCATGTCGCAAGCGGTCAAAAAAGGGCCTTTTGCAGCTTTGTCTTTTGAGAGCTGTAAAAATTTTGTTTTAACGTACAGATTTCAAGAAACTAATATGGTTTTATTTACTGGCTACCAAAGATACTTTATTGGGCAAAATTTGAGGGAAAACTTTGTTCCGATGCGAAATGCCTTTGGACCGCTCTTACAGAGATCGCCTCTTAATATGAAAACAAACAAATTAATTTACTTCCTTGATTCTTCTGCAGTTGCCCTTGGAGTGAGTTTATTCGTTTTCCTCGCTTGGCTCTTAAGCTTACAGGTTTTCCATTAATTCATATCTGACGGTGGAGAATATTTCCATGTTCATGTTGGATAATTTCTCGCAGTTTCCACGCCAAGGGAAATGTCAATGAAAAGGGGCTCGGTGCATACATTAGACTGACGGCTCCACAAATAAAAGATTGTCCAGCGCTTGGTCTAATAAAAACCTTACGTAAATCGGCCAACGAAAAGCGGACAAAATTAATAAGTAATTGATAATACTTAAAGGACCTTTTCCACTGGCGCTTACGTTTGGCCGTTACGTTCAGCGGGCCTGGGGAGGAGAATGTCTATGGAACCTACAGTCGAACAGGAACAGACAACCACATTTTGTTAGCTGCCTGATATGACTGACGTATGACGTGTGTTGGAAAAAAAACTTTAAGGACGAAA